TATGTATGTATGTATGTATGTATGTATGTATGTATGTATGTATGTATTTTTTCTTCTAAAGGTTATGCGTCTTGTGCTCTTGTGGCGGGTCCTCTAGGACAGGTGCCTCAGTAGGGTCAGCTGGCCACTCAAAAGAAGTCCACCATGAAAGAGAACTCTTCTTCTTCATCTGCACTGTGGACTGCTTGGCCTGATGCCGTGTTTGCTGCAGGTGAGCCTGTTGCTTCCGGCTGGCCTGGCTGGTGCTCTGGTCCCTGTTCGAGGGATCTGGTGAGCTGGGTGTCTTGGCCTGTGCTGGCTTGTGTGCCAGAGTTCCCTGAGCTTGTTGGTCCAGCTCTGTGGGAAAATGCAGCCTCCTTGGTGTGGGCCCTTGACCCTTTAGGTTGGGCTCTTGCTGCTCTTCCGGCTTCTGGTGTTGAAGTCTTGGTTTCTTGGACTTCTCCTGCAAGGCCGGTGGTGCCTGCTGTGTGGTCTGGCTGGTGCCACTGGTAGAATCCCCAGGACTCTTTTGTTGGGAGGCTTGTTCAGCTTGCTTGCGGAAGATCTCAGCCAGCGGTGGTGAGCCACTGATGCCTGAGCCTTTGCGTGTATGTATGTATGTATGTATGTGTCTGTATTTTTTTTCCTGAAGTTGTTGTGCGAGGGCCGTTTGGCCGGTTTGGCTTGCTCAGTCGCTTCAGTAGTGGTGTTCCATGGAGTAGAGTGCCAGCCGACATCTGCCGTGGGCTCTTAGCCTTGGACTCTTAGAAGAAGTCGACTTCAAAGGCCTGATTGTCCTCCTCATCAGTGTCGGTGGACTGCTGCATGGCCTGGAGGCTGCCTGCTTCTAGGCTGGGTGTCATGGCCTGTGCAGGGCTTTGCTCATCCTCACGCTGTGTCAAGGGCGTGGAGAAATGGAGCCTCTTTGGTCGGAGTGAAGCAACCTGGAGCGGTGATGCTGCAGGTGCTGGCGGCTCTGTGTCACTGGCGCCTCCTGTCGAAGGAGGTGTTGGTCTGAAGAAGGATTGGATCGAGGGTGATCCCTTGAGTCCAGCTCTTTTGCATTCCTTCTGGAAATTGGAGGTGCTGATGATGCGTTTCTGGCTATCAATGTGCAATTGCAGGCCACAAAGGGTGCAACTGATCTTATTGCCCTTCTGCCAGAGCTGGTGGCTTGGATGTCCGGTGTGCTGGCCGGTGAAGGGACAGTCAAGGCATGGACTGGTGATGTATTCATTGAAAGCTTGCTCATTTGTGCGCTTGTGGATGTTGGTTCCACATTTGATGCATTTCAAGTATCCTGTGGTTTCTTCAAAGCTGTGGCAGTCTCGTGCCGGTGCCTGGGCCTCTTGTTGTTGCAGGAGTTGGCGGATGACCTGGCTCCTGGTGAGTCTTTTGTCGAGTTTGGAGGCTTCTGGGCTCAGCTTGAAGTTGAAGGCATGGTTCAGTCAGGCGTTCTTCCAGCAGTTGTGCTGTCAAACCTTGGTGCATCCTGGTCCCACAAGTGATGCATGCAAAGCCACTTCTCTGTGGAGCCCATCTCTGGTATGGCTCTTGCCATGGCTTGTGGCACTGCTGGATGAGGTCTTTCTTCTTCTGTTTGGTGTGCTTTCCCGGGTTTTTCCCTGCTTTGTTGTGCAGATAGTGTTGTTTGTCCTCGAAGATCTTCTCCAGCCGCTGCACTGCCTGTTTGTATATGGCTTGGTGGTCACGATCAAGCGTGCCCTGCCATGCTGTTTGCCTGCGGTCATGAAGGGCATCAGCCCGTTCCCAGGCTGTCAGTGCCGCATCACGCTGCCGCCTGCGGAGCTGCGGTTCGTTACCCGGGGCCTCTGGAGTCCTGGTGTTCCAGCTGATGTAGAGGACTGTTATTCGTTGTCTGTCCTGGGCTGTGGTGTCTTCCAGGAGGTCTGGGTATGGGTGTCGATGTGGTGGTTTGTGCCATGCCTCCCAGACTGAACTGAGTTGGACAATCACTTTGACTTGTGTGGTCGTGTGCTTTGTTAGGGCAACAAGTCCTGCAAACAGTGCCCTTCCCTTGGTCTGCGGTCCCTTGGGTGCTCCCGTGATTGCCCCAAGTCGTTTCAGGTGTCCCATGGATTGGGAGTGCGCGCAAAGCCCGAACTCCCAAATCTGACTACGTTGATCGTAGTGAGATGGTGTGGCATCCAGTGTTATGGCCCAACCACTGTATTGATCGGGTCCAGTGGGTTGGAGGTCTTGCCATATGCCATGGCCTTGGTACGGGTGTGGGCTGTGAAGGTGCTCTTGTGGTTCTAGTGGGATCCAGCCCTTCGACCACAAGGGTTCTTCGTCCTGGCATGTGATGCGCTCCATCCATTCCGGTGGTAGTGGTGCATGATGTTGATCTCGGTGCCATTTGCACAACCATAGTATGTGCTTTGGTGTCGCAGGGACATGACACAGCGGGCATGGTTTGGTGGCGGCGGCATCTCTGAAATGGATGGCTCCCTGAACCCACGTTTGCAAGTGACACCTTTGCTGGGCCGGCAGTTTGCTTTTGAGCTGGCGGTAAGTGTGCCAGTCCAATCCGGTGAGTAGGTGATTGTGATGTGGTCTCTTGGCAAATCTGCTGTTGCGTTGGTGTTGGGCCTCTTTGTAGAACTCGTGTTCGATCTGCCACCATGGGTGTTCCATGTGAATCTCAGCGGCCAGCAGTAGATCTGTCTCTGGTCTGGTCCAGTGCATGAGGTCTTGGACATCCCAACCCCATTCATGTAGGTACGCAATGGCTGCCGCCATGGGGCCCTTGACTGTGTACCATGGGTATTGCTTGTTTTGGAGGCTGTCCTGTGTGGCCTGCCATGCTTGCCGTAGTTGTGGTAGTTGCTCAGTCGGCCAGGCGTGGATCAGCTGATGCATGGCTCGGATGTGATGGATGATGATTTGATCAGCTGGATCCACATATTTGTCGCTGTGGATGTCATATGTGACGTCCAGGATGCCGCCATTGTGGTGTCCTAGCTGTTTGGCCAAGGCGTGGCGTAAAGCCATTCGGTACCTTGGGGCCAATCCTTGGCTTTCAACCCCCCAAACTGCCACCGGCTGTATGCCCCCTCTGTGCAGTCGTAGTCGTACTCGAAGGGCAGGGATCTTCAGATTCTTCAGTTTGAGGCGGCGCTGAGCTGCTTTGTTCATGCGCTGTTTCATCACCGGGATGCGCCGGGCTCGACCTGCTTGATGATCAATACCGAGGTCTCTCATGACTGGTACGACCGGGGGTTCGTCTTCAGTGAGGAGGTCCTTCAGTGCTCTGTTGGTTTGTTTGTCTGTGCCAATGAAGGCGGTTTTTTTGGCACTGACTCTCAAACCGATGCTGGTGAGTTTGTGGTGCAAGGCTCGGTAGGCATCAACCGCCTGTTGTGCTACCTGTTGTGGATGCTTGCCCGCGGTGTCAAAGCCTATGTCATCGACCCAACTGGATAGGTGAATGTGTTTGTGCTGCTCGTGCCATGGAGCCAATGCGGGCGTCAGCACTGCTTTGGCCAGCAGTGGTGCTTGGGGGCATCCTGCAGGCACTCCTTGGTCTACGTGGAAGAATGGAGTCATTTCCTGTTCGGCCACTATTGCTTTTGGTCCTGTATAGACTTGCGTGGCCATTTCCAACATGAGTGGTGGGTAGTTGATGGCCAGGGCCTGGTCTTGAAGACTCTGCAGCTGGATGGTGTCATAGAAGGTGGAGAGGTCCATAAGGACAGTGACACCATGTTGTTGGTTGGCTCTGTGTACCTCCTGTCGGAGGAGGCGCTCAAGAGCAACTTGGAGGACATTTGCTCCTGGTCTGGCCCTGTCGTGGTCATGTATGTGTGTCCTGGTCTGGTATGTGTGTGTATGATCCCTACCTCACTAACCATGGTTTTTTGGGGGGGACCTCCCAAAATGTAAGTTACAATTTTCGGGGGGTCCCCAGCCCAAAAAAAACTGTAAGTTAGGGACCCCCCCCAGGTATGTACGGTGAACTGTTTGGGAGGGGGTGGGGGGTATTGTGTATGTATGTGTGTATGTGTGTATGTATGTATGCATGTACGTATGTAGGTATGTAGGTATGTCGTATGTAGGTATGTAGGTATGTAGGCATGTAGGCATGTAGGTATGTAGGTATGTAGGTAGGTAGGTAGGTGGGTAGGTATGTAGGTATGTATGTAGGTATGTATGTATGTATGTATGTAATGTATGTATGTATGTATGTATGTATGGTAATGTAATGTAATGTAATGTAATGTAATGTAATGTATGTATGTATGTATGTATTGTTCTTATGGGTCATGGTTTCCTTTCTTTGTTGGATTCAGGAAGAACGAAGTCACAAATCCAAAAATCTAAACACCCGAAACTCTAAACAATTGCGGACTAAAGTGCAAAGTAGTCTGGACATTTTCATATTTTTGGATTTGTATGTTTTGTTTTTTGACATTTGGAGATATGTTTCATGGGAATTGTTGCGCAACATGTTGTTCAACAATCCGTCCTTGTGAGCCTGGCATTGTGCCTAGGCCCCACGGAGTTCCCTTTGCTGGACAACCCTGAAGATCCTTCCAGAAGGTGCCATCTGGGCCAGGGCCATCTGTGTTCCATCTGGGTTCTATCTGGGTCCATTTGGGGCTCCCATCTGGGTCCATGGGGTCCATTCGATGGATCGGTGGTGGAGCCTCATCCACGGCGCCGCGTGTTTGGGGCAACTCCGGCGCTTCGGAGGTTCGATGTCGCGGCCAGGATGTCGCGGCGCATGAAGGAGAAGGAACTAGGACGTCTGGGGACTCAGCCGGATGTCACTCTGCTTGTCACTTCCCAATGAAGGACATGTGAAACGTTAGGGGTCTCTGGTCAAAGGCATTGTCGAACCTCACGTCTTCAAATGTGGGATCCTCACCAAGTTTTCACCTCCTGTCACTTGTCATGGCTTCGAAACTCCGGGCTCTTCAGTGGCGCTGGTGTTGGGTCTCTGCCGCGCAGGGGAGGCGGTCTTCGCTGCCGCGCTGATTATGGTCCTTATCAGCTTCTCTGTAGGCGCGGGCGCCAGGGTCTGATCAAAGGGATGGGTGGTATGGAAAGCAGCCAACTGCAACTTAAGCAATAGTTAAGCAAGTGCCAAAGAGCAATTTGCTACTGGGTTGCAAGCGCACAAACACAGGGCGATTTGTTGTGCCTGTTTGATGCTCTATGACTTGAGGAGGTCGCGGACAACAGGGCTGCTTCCTTGCCCTGGAATGGCCCGACTAGAGGCTTCTAGATTCTAGACCTTCCAAGGTCGTTGGAGCTTCTTTAGCTGTGAACTGTGGTCTTCATGAAAGTTAGTGAACCTAAGCTCAGGGTGCAGCAAAGCTTTTCGCCCAAGTTGCACTGATCATCTACACAGGATTTCATTGAAGAGCCCTGTAGAGACTGGACCTCCAGTGAAAAAGGGGTACCTTCCGTAGAACACGGGAATCCACACCTGAGAAAATCTTGAATACTGGAATCTTTTGTGAAGTTGCGGATGTTTTGAAGTCTCGTCGATGATAGAGGTCTCCAGCTCATCATGGTGGAGTTTGTGATGACTGGCACCTGTGTCACCGGCTGAGAGGAACTCGCTCAGACCAAAAAGGAGGGATCTGATCTTTAATACGAAAATGTGTTCAAACACGAGAAGCATGGATATATATATATATAGTGTCTCAAAATTCAGCGGCTACGTCTGCTCCCCACAACAGCTGTTTCAAAAGGCATAAAATGGTGATGTCAAAGCATGGCAATTCAGCAATTATTTGGGCTCGTCGGGCGCATCCCGCTTCCATGACTTCAGTCGGCCATCATAAACACCACTAGGCTCTCCAACGTGTCTGGGTGTGAAGCACTCTCAATTTGAGGCCATCCCATGCAACATTGCAGGTGCGGGCCGTCGGTCGCGCTTGTCTAAACGCGCAAGTGAGCGCGCTCAGCACGTGTGGGAGTAGCAGCGGTTCTGCACAGTGAAGGGTGGAGGCTGGGCCATCCCATGTTTCTTGGCAGATGACCATTAAAATCATTAGTGACTAGAGCACAATGAAGATTCCGACATGACACTGTGTCGAGTGTCCAGCACAAGAGTGCACTCCTGCAGATTCTTTTTTCGTTTGCACATTTCCTAGTGGCTTTATATTTTTGTTGCACTACATTCAGTGTATACTCAAGGAGATGGGGTCTTGCCTTCCTATGATGGGGTGTCAGAAGCATCTGGCATCTTCTAGAGACACAATGGGTCTTTGTTGTCCAAAAGTTAAGCTGCTTATCATTGTTTTTGTCAGGACATAGCCCCACGTTTTTTGTAGGTGAAGGGCATTCCCACTAGAAGCCCTTCTGGTCCTTCGCTCGGAGCCGCCCAGCGCTGCCAGGGATGATTTTAGCGGTGATCCTGGCTGTGACCGCGGCGCTGCGCGCGGTCGTGCGCATGCTGCTGCGGCCGTTTAGGCGGGGGTGAGGTTTGGTGCTCCGGCTGCTGGTGGAGGGGACAAGTGGGTGTGGTTTGTTGAAAGACCTTCAGGAGAAACTGATGACAGTTGAAGTTTGAAGGTGAACTGGATTGATGGAGTTCATGCGACATTTAGCGGAAAAGACTGAAAGGGAAGCCTGTCTCGTCTATAAACAGTGTTTACCGGTTACCATGTTTGATGATGTTTGTGTGGGGTTTGTTCTTGGGTGCTTTCTGGAAAGGAGGAGAAGGGCTCATTGTTGGGGCAAGCTACTGGAATGCAAGATTTGATGGTGACAGACTTTTTGTTGACATAGGTCAAGGGGGGGAAGTTCAGTAATGCCAGCTGATTGACTGTTGCCTGGATGAGAATTGAATATTGTGGGCAACAACATACAACAACATCCTGCAACCGCACAAGCACCGGATCTTGCATCCATGTCACCAAGCCAAATTCTTACAATTAAGTTGGCTGGATTGGTCTGGAGTCTTTCTGGTGAGACAGCCATGGGCCATGCCAACTTTCGGTCACTTCCTTGGACCTTGGCAGCCAAGTCAAGGCCCTGCTGGCTCCTTCTCTGGTCCTGCCGGGGCCTCGGCGGCTCCGCTGGTTGTCGCGTCCAGCACGAAAGACGGTGGACACTGAGCTTGGCCGTTCCTTTTTGTATGCACGCCCTTTGGGCGGCAGCGGATCAAGGCGAACTTTTGGACCTGGGTTTTTTCCCTGAATTTCCATGGACTCCAAGACTTTTCTTCTCAGGGGGGAACGGCAGCTTTTTCAATCGGAATCATCCCCATGTTTTCAGCCAGACCAATCTTGGCCTGAAGCCACTCCGACCCAGGGACCAGTCGAAACAGAAAGGCATGGATGCGAGATGCGAGCCGGCTGCCGGGGTTTACTTTGCGAACTCTCTGGTCCATGGTCTGTGGCTGTGTTATATAAGTATAGACCATTGTTACGCTGGTGGACCCCGGTCACTCACAGACACGAGAAAGTAAAAGTGTTGACCAATGTTCTCTCAACATATATTACTTATATTGCTCGTGTGGCGTTTCCTTTATATACTCTCTCTCTCTCTATTGTTGGCGCAATAGAAGGTTCTCTCATGATCATTGAGGGTTGTTCGAGTACTTGCTAGCAATGCGAATTAGGCAATCGATATTTAACTGTTGTTCCAATCCTTCTGTTGCAATCAAGACTATCTCTTGATTTGCAAGGAAGGAGTTAAGTACAGCTGAGGTTCCTTCTATCAAAACGATAACTCCTCCATTCTGTTGGTATGTCGTGCCGACAGTGCTGACCTTGAAGAGCCAGACGCGTCGGGATCCCATACATTTTGGACATGTGGCTTGTAGTATGTCATCCTGTCATCCCTGGTTGCGAGGCTTTCACTACCCAGGCGTTCAGAAGGTAGAGGATGTCCTCCATCCACACTTGTCGAGAGAAAGAGAGAGCTCGCGAGCTCGCGTTCGTTCGCTCCGGCAACGCATCGACCATTGTCAACAATTCAGATATGACTTCAACTTGACGCCGGGCACTCAAGCATGCTTATGGTCGTTTTGGGTGGTCCAGGACTTAACCCGCCGAACACCGAAAACCGTTGGACGACGAAGCGGTTTGTGCAGGCTTCACCCATCATGCAAGCCCTTCCAGAGCACCTCTTGGAGGAGGCTTGGAGGAAGCATTGATGGGAAGAAGCTCCCAGACCCAGCTTTCCAAGACCCAGCTGGCGGATTGGAAGGCCACGTTGTACTTAGTTACTTCAATGCTTGCTCAACACAGGGTAGATGAGCTCACTGGCTGGGGACAGAAAACATCGTGTTGTTCTGCCGAGAAATAACCAGGTCCAAGTGACCTTAATTTTTCCTGAAGGCTTTAACGTAGAGAGATCCTTGATGAAGCTTGTAGACATTCCCAAGGAGTATATAGAACATGGATAACCAAGGTTTCGATCAACTCTCACAAAAAGACCCCGCTTTTGGCACGCCATTTGGGTCATCGCACGAAGTGGGTGTGATGTGGGACTTGCTCCTCAACACCCAAATTGCAGCCCTGTTTGCTTTTGGAAGAATCACATGTCAAACAAGTGCAAACCAGTTGCCGCAGTGCCACCTTACCATTTGCAAGTCAAGCATTAGATAGCTTGGACATGGATGTTACATTGATTCCAAACGATTGGGATGATGCCCAACATGCAAGTGGGGTCGGTCCCAGGTTCGGCATCCAACTGAAAACAACTGAGCATACTCTGACCTAAAACAGATTCCATTCCGATTGAACTAAGGTATGACATACTGGGGGACCTGGTATGTTAGATCAATAAATAGGTCTGTTCAATTGCACACCTCGTCTGCAGAGGTGGTGGGCTTCTTAGACTTGGAGGGCATGTGTGGCCTCGGCTAGGGAAGCCCAGGAGGCAGGCCAGGCACTTCCACTACAACGAGTGTGAGGTTTTGGATCGACTGAACGACAACTGACAATTTTTCCCCAAACAGGTTACTGTTAGGGGTTCTCAATGCTTTCTAAGAGTGTCCGCCTTGCTGCGGGACAGCGTGTCCGCCTTCTTGTCTCCCTTGTGTCTCCTTTTGTCTCCCTTCTTGTTGGTCACTGTGTCCGTCTTGTCTGCCTTCTGTTTCCTTTTGTCTCCCTTCTTGTCTCCCTTCTTGTCTCCCTTCTTGTTGGTCGATGTGTCCACCTTGTCTCCCTTCTGCTTCCCTTTGTCTCCGGTCTTGTTTCCCTGCTTGTTGGTCACTGTGTCCTTTGTCTCCCTTCTTGTCTCCCTTCTTGTTGGTCACTGTGTCCTCCTTGTCTCCCTTCTGTCTCCTTGTGTGTCCCTTCTTGTCTCCCTTCTGTCTCCCTTTGTCCCTTTGTTGGTCATTGTGTCCACCTTGTCTCCCTTCTGCTTCCGTTTGTCTCCCTTCTTGTCTCCCTCCTTGTTGGTCACTGTCTCCGTCTTTATTCTGTCTCTTTTTGTCTCCCTTCGTGTCTCTGGTCTTGTCTCCCTTCCACACTGTGTCCGTCTTGTCTCACTTCTGTCTCCTTTTGTCTCCCTTCTTTTCGCCGTTCTTGTTGGTCATTGTGTCCGCCTTGTCTCCCTTTACTCTTGCTTTGTCTCTGGTCTTGTCTCCCTTCTTGTGGGTCATTGGTCACTGTGTCCGCCTTGTCTCCCTTCTGTTTGCTTTTGTCTCCTTGTCTCCCTTCACTGTGTCCGCCTTGTCTCCCTTCTGCCTCCTTTTCTCTTTGTTCTTGTGTTCCTTGTTGGTCACTATGTCCGCCTTGTCTCCTTTCTGTCTCCCTTTGTCTCCGCTCTTGTCTCTCTTTTGTTGGTTACTGCTAGGGTTCTTCCCCAAACAGGTTACTGTCAGGGGTTCTCAATGCTTCTCTTCTTGTTGGTCGTTGTGTCCGTCTTGTCTCCCTTCTGTTTCCTTCTGTGTCCCTTCTTGTTGGTCACTGTGTCCGTCTTGTCTCCCTTCTGTTCCCTTTTGTCTCCCATCTTGTTGGTCATTGTGTCCATCTTGTCTCGCTTGTGTTTCCTTTTGTATCCCTCTTGTCTCCCTTTTGTATCCTTTTGTCTCCCTTGTTGTTGGTCATTGCGTCCGTCTTGTCTCCATTCTGTTGCCTTTGTCTCCCTTCTTGTCTCCCTTCTTGTTGGTCACTGTGTCCGTCTTGTCTCCCTTCTGTATCCTTTTGTCTCCCTTCTTGTTGGTCATTATGTCCGTCTTATCTCCCTTCTGTTTCCTTTCGTCTCCCTTCTTGTCTCCCTTCTTGTTGGTCATTGTGTCCGTCTTGTCTCCCTTCTGTTTCCTTCTTGTCTCCCTTCTTGTTGGTCATTGTGTCCGTGTTGTCTCCCTATCTTTTTTTGTCTCCCTTGTTGTCTCCTTTCTTGTTCATGTCACAAAAAATGGACTTGGGAATGCTTCATTGTTGTCCTACCTGTTTGGGGCCTACGGTTGTGTAATTTGTAGACTTAGTTTGGTAGGCTGCTAGTAGGTAGGTAGCTAGTAGTAGCTAGGTAGCTAGTAGCTTACTTAAGCTACTACATATCGTCGCAAGATAGATCACGCTTCTTCAAGGAAGTCCCCCCACGGGAAGCTTAACATTAGAAGCTACAATTTGGGATGATTTCCATGTTAGTTCATTTGCTAGGAGGGGTGTTTGCATGATGCCTCAGTGCTGGCTCCATTTTTAACCCTTCGGTTGTGGCAACCGGTGGGTTTCAACCGAATACCTGTGTATTGGGAGGTCCAACTGGGCCGAATGACGTTCAACTGGGAGGTCCAAGTTGAAGTGTGGAGACGGCTGAGTCACTCTTTTGGCAGTTACATCGCCAACTAACCATAGTCAAAAAAGGAGGTTGGACATATCAAAAGGTTGGGAGTGCGTCTCCAAACGAAAGCCCTCACATGGTCTATTTGCCCTTTCCGAGCTTTGTTTTCTTATGTTCTTTTTCGGGGTGTTACTTTTTTTGGTGCCCAGCAGCCAACCTCTGGAGCTGTCTTCACCTCGTCCAAAAACTGTCCATACACCCGTGGACAGCCTGAGGTTCTGCGTCGAGGCATGGGCACTGGAAGATCGGATTTGGTTTTGAAGAGAAATGATTTGTGTTAGTAGAGTCAGCAGAGCATCATAGATTCATATAAGTATATATATATATATACATACATAGTATACACATACTATACACACTGGCTCAAGCCATCTCAGCATCAAGCCGGGCCCATACAAGACCGGCTCACGCGGCGCAAGGGCGCGGCTGTTGGCGATCCCAGAGGTGATCTTCCGGGAGAAGGAGAAGTACCAGACTGATGCAGAGACCATACTTGGTCTGCAAAAGCTGTGGCCGGAGCTGGATCTGGCAGGACAGGCTGGTGAGAGATCACACCCTGACCTGTCGACAATGTGGCACTGCATGGCAAGGACAAGGGCTCCAAGACCTCAAGGCCGGCAGGAAGAAGACCCACTGGGCGCAGTGGAATTTCAGCCACACAGGACACAAATGGCCGGCCCGGACCTACAAGCAGGCACTCTTGGAACCACCACCAGGACTCGCAGGAGGCCACAGACCCAAGAAAGCTAAGGTCAAGTTCAATGCCCTACAAAAGGCAGTCCAAGAACATTGGGAGACGTTGCCCACGGCCCTCAAGACCCAATGTGAGGCCATTGGATTGCAGGCACTAGCCCCTCCAGCACCTCCTGACTTGCCGACCTTGATCAAGGAGCACTTGGAAAGTTTGCCCAGTGATCTCAAGCAAGCAGTTGGCAAGTTGGTGGAGCCGGATAAACCTGAACCCACCCTGGCCACAAAGCTCAAGCAATCTGTGGGACAGCTGAAACAGCTGGCTGAAAAGAAAGCAGCACTACAGCACAAAGCTGATGCAGTCAAAGTTCAATACTCAGCCCTGCTGGTTGAGCTGAAGGAGATGCAGTCAAAGATTGAAGGAGCGCAAAAAGAATTACAAGACACTACGAACCTGTACAACCAGCAGATTGAGAAAGAGAAGACAGAAGCTGCCGCTGAAGAAGATGTTTTCACCTTAGCACCTGAAAAGCTGATGACGATCCTGGCCAAAGTCGGTGTACAAGCCACTGCAGAGCAGGTCACGGATTTTGCACGGCAGATTGAGGAAACGGCAGCAAAAAGACGGAAGTGTGGGTAACAACCTGCAAAAGCATGAGATGGCAAATCAAGGGGAAATCACATGGACGTCGTCGGCTAGGCATCTGGGGGAGATTGATGCAAATTTGTCTGACGGACATGTGCACTTTGGCTCAGATCAACAGGGGCAGACACAGGTGCAGACCACCTGTGGTTTTGGGGCGTCAGCGGATGAAGAGCTGCTGACTTTGCAGGAGCGGCCTTTAGCTGTTCCTAGTTTTTGTGGGGGTGCAGGCACCATGGCAGAACATGAGCCTGCAGTTGAAGATGCAACCATGATCCCGGTGGAGGAACCTCCTTCATCAGACCAGTCGACCTTGGACTATGTCCTCCAGAACCTCCAATGTCGAACAGGGAACTACCGCAATCGGTGCTTTGCCAATGCACCGTTTAGGCTGTGGTCCTGGGCGGGCAGCTTCCTCGGAGGCCCTCAGCTATGGAACCGGACGGGAGCGGCGGTCATTGCGGCTCTCAAAGATGATGGTGTTGTCAACATCACCAGACTGCCGACTTTGCAACAGCTCTGGCAGACCTTTGATGACCAGGTACAGGATGATGCATCACATTTCCTCATGGACTTGGCGAGGATTGCAAATTCAGACAAGGTGATCAAAGGCTACTACCATGTGGACTACAGACAACAGGTGCATAGAAGAGAATCCTTTCCGATCCACCTCATCTCACCGTGGACGGATCACGAACAGGAACTGGAGCAGCTCATTGCAGAATGGGCAAATACGGCAGAAGGGCAAGTGGCTGATGGCAGAGGCCTTTGGGTAGGCCAAATTGGACGCTATGAGCTGCGAGATGGAGAGTGGACCAAGCACCACCAGATCCTGAATGTGCCCACGATCTTCAACCTTCCCTTCACTGAGGACGGAAATATGACTAAAACGGAGCAGTACTCCCTGATTGGCCTCTTGTGTCACTCCGGGGAGCAACACAAACAAGGGCACTACTATGCGATCTTTGTCTACCGAGGAGTCTACTGGCTTGTCGACGATGTTTCCTACCCTCGGCCTATCCCTGAGCTCACAGACAGCATCAAGCGGCAGATAGTGCAGGTATGGGCCATCCCTTCAGCTGAACTTCTCCCGCTGACATCCAGAGTGAAATTTCCAGTGGGAGCATAGCACCTTCTGCTGACAAACCGGCCAACAAGAGGAGAAAACTGGTGGGGATAAGCTTTGCCTTTGCGAATGTCACGCAACTTGGCCAACCCGTGCGACAGTGGTTGCTCGCGCGGCCCAGAACACCAATTATGCTGGTCGAGACACACCTCAATCAGGAGGACTTTGCCAAAACCAGTCAATGGTTTGCTGCACGAGGATTCGGAGTATTGGGGTGGCCTGCGGCAGAAAGCCTCAAGGGGGGCACACACGGTGGACACATGCTCCTATATCCTGCCAACATGCATTTCCACTTCATCCACAAGCAGGTGATTGAAGGCTGTGGGTGGTATGCTTCTCAATGGTCTTTTGCAAACCTGGAAGTCATCCTAGTCATGGCCTACTTTCGTACAGGGGAAGGAATCCAAGGCCACACGAATTCGCAGCTCTGGGCTGGCCTCATCTCCTTTGTCACTAGCATGACCAAACAGGTGATCATTGCGGGTGACTTCAACATCACCCCAGAGGAATTCATGACGACCACCATGAGCGCCATCATGCAGGTCCAAGTTTTGGCATCAGGGGAGGCAACATGTCATAGTGGAAATGAGCTGGACTGGGCATTGGTCTCCACGAGCTTGGTGGCTGACCTCTCCATCAAAGCCTGCTGGGAGGTTCCTTTCAAACCTCATGCGCAGCTGGTTTTCACCTGGACACAGGATTTGGCACCCGTGGCTGTTCAACAGATCCAGAAATTCAGCCCGGCACCCAAGTTGCCCAAACCATCAAGAGAATGGTACCAAATTGAATATGCTGAAGTGCCAGTGCAGTGGCTGAACAAACCCACGACTCCAGCAACACAACAAGTTGGGGCGCTTTGCCACAAAATTGAACGATATGTGCTACAAGGCCTTGACAAGCCCACTTTTGGCAGGGGCACACAGTTGCAGCTCCAGCACAAACCTCTCCAGGACCCTAGCAAACCCTGGATTTGGAAACGGGGCAGTCTGGCTTATTGGGGACAAATTGAAGTCCGTTTGCAGCAAATGCTACAGCATCCTTGGGCTGAACCTTCACTACAACACCTTCAGCGGCTGTCATGGCACATTGAGGATCATTGGCATGGAGATTGCCACATTACCTCAGACAGTTACCGCCAGCTTTTCAAGATGCTGTGGGGGCAACATGAGGAAGAACATCTACATGTCCTGCTGAAGCACACCGAACAACAGCGATCACTTCATCAACAACAGGCCATTGATGAGGAGACACAAACCTACCGGGAGTGGCTCACCAAAGCAGCACAGAAAGGATGCAGAGGCCTCTATCGCACCTTGAAGAAAGATGAACTTGCATACTTGCGTCCTTTTCAAGATCAACCGCGACAAGAGCGGATGGAAAGCAGGAAGCAACAGTGGGGACAAATCTGGGGCATTCGTGACCATCCTCTTCACCTTCCTCAGTTGCAAGAACTCATCAGACAAGGCGCGGAATTTGGGCAGAACATGCCTCCGCTACACCCCAAGCAGATCTGGCACACGATCAAGCACCTCAGTTTAAAAGCACCAGGCCTTGACGGCATTGGCTTTGACTTTTTGAAGGCCCTTCCATATCAAGCCATGCAAGATCTGGCACAAGTCTTCCATCAGCTTGAGGCACATGCAGTGATTCCACAGCAGTGGACTACATCCTTGATTGCTTTGTTGCCCAAATCCGCTGACATTGAACGACCAATAGCACTGGTCGCCACTCTCTACAGGCTATGGTGCCGCCTCCGGAGCTCTTTCACCAAACAGTGGCAGACAACACTGGCCGAGGATTACCCCTGGGAGAGAGCAACCCCAGGAACTGAGTGTTTGCAAGTGGCCCTGCGCAGAGCTTTCCTCACCGAACACCACAACTCGATGAAGCGCACGGTGGTCTCGGTGCTCTTAGACATATCCAATTTCTATGACCGCATCAAGCTGGAAGCCCTCTGCAACAGGTGGTTGGACTCCAACTACCCACCAACACATGCAGCTTTTGCCATGCAGTTGTATCTTGGTGGACGGATCTTGGAGGCCGAAGGAGAGGCATCGCACCAACTCTGGACGGAAAATGGCATCTTGGCGGGAGACCCTCAAGCACCCTTGGCAGCCAAGATCTACCTGTACAATGCCCTGAAGGCCTTCCACAAAAAGTATCCACAACTCCACACGGACTTGTGGATTGATGATCTGTCATTCGACGTTGTTGACAGGGATCCGGCCAATGCAGTGCGGATCGCAATACAGGCCTATGAACACATCAAGAAGCTCCTTGAAGAAGACAATCTCAAAATCTCTGAGAAAAAGACGGGCTTCATTGCCTCCAACAGCACGGCCAAGCGGCTGCTGCAACAACAGCTGCCGGAGCATGGACCACGGGTACATGATGTGATGAGAGATTTGGGGGTTGACTGCACGGCGGGTCGTCTCCGGAGGATCCAAACTATGAGAAACCGACGAAACAAAGCCTCCAGGAAGACCAAGAAGTTGGCAACACTTAAGATCCCGCAGAGAAGCATCCGCCTCAAGCTCTACAAGGGCAGCATTGTCGCTGGCATTTCATGGGGACATGAGGCTATGGGCCTGGCACCGCAAGTCCGGAGGAAACTCCGGAACACCATGGGCAGGCAGCTTGGCCTCCAAAGAACAGGCAACGTCGACATCCTGTACGACATGCATGAACGACACCAAGATCCGGATTATGGCTCATTCATGGCTCAGGTGCGTACCTATCGACGGTTTCATGGCAACTGGCCTGAAGCCACGCACAAGTGCCTAGAAAGAGCATGGCACGCCATCAAGGAGAAGCTCAGTCAGGCCCAATACCCCTGGCAAGTCGCCAAGGGCCCAGTTGCTGCACTACAATGTTACCTCATGGAAAGGAAATGGGAGTGCACTCACTATGGAGTTTGGACCAAGCCTGGCCACAATGGACAGCGAGAGTTTCGATTGGACATGACAGAGGACTGGTACACACTCCGTGAAGAGCTCAAACGAGCAGAACGATGGGAACGCATTGAGAAGATCAACAAGCGACAGCACTTGGAGGACATCCAGAACACCATTGATTGGAGGCCATGGAGACTTATGACAAAGACCCTCAATGCTCGAAACGCCACCTCTCTGGCCACCTGGCATCAAGGAGCTCTGTTCACCAAGGTTGCGGACACTGAAGGTGATCGACAACTGATTTGTCCACATTGTGGACAAAAGGCCACTGCGCTCCACCTGCTGTGGCTTTGCAAGGAGACGACCAAGGCATTCCCGCCCTTGAGTCCTGAGGATCAGTTTGAGCTTGACCACGGTGTGCACCTTGAGTTCTGGACGCAAGGGCTTCTCACTTTGCCGAAGTATGAACTGGCCACCGGAGGAGCGGCTGTCCAGGCATGGGGCAGCTGGACATTGCAGGATGAAATGAAGGTGAGCAACACCTCGGTCTTCACGATAGGGATAGCTGCTACGAGCAAGGACCCGCGATTGAGGCACTATGTGGTGGCTTTGGTGCAACACGCCGGATTGGGTCAAGAGCTATACCGCCTTGGTGTGGTAGCAACAGTTCTGCCAGGGCACCAATCCTTGGCGAGAGCATGGTATTATGGTTTGAGGATGGCCGCCCACTACATCAATCTGAGCACGCAGGTGAAGTTCCACGTGTTGTCTGCCAAGGCCTGGGAGGCATGGGTGCAAGGGAAGCATGATCACCTCTTCCACGACCTTGGCAGCCTGGTCACGCCTGAGCAAAAGAAGCAGGTCAAGGCCCTCAGCATCACTATGCAGCAGATCCGGCAGATGCCCACCGGTCACATGACCTTGAAGAACAGGTTTCATGATGCCACGAAGGCAGCCACTGAGGTTGCTCTGTCCTTGAGACCTCTTGAGGAGGAGACCTTTCTTCACCAGCAAGATGAGAAGTACAAGCGCATTGCACCGCTCGCCATCAAGCGAGTGCAACACATCCTGGACAACAAGGACCACTTCATGCACCAGGCCAGAGAAACCGGGAAAACCCTCCGGCTGCAGAAGCAAGAGACCAAAAAACAGGCTTTTGCTGCACTGGCTGAGCTCTCCAGTGAAGGTGCTCATGCATGGCTCCTCAAAGGACGCGCCAAACAATGTCTTCATTGCTTCAAGCGGCTGACCCTACATGCCAAGCTTGAGGACCTTCAAGCAGCGGCACACGAGAGGTGCCCAGGGAACCCTGGAAGCGCCAAAGGGGGTCAGAACACAGAGCCTGAAGCTTCTAGATGACAGCACAGGAGAGCATGGAGAGCACAATTTCCAGCAGCAAGGCAGTTACCTGGTTTGTCAACAGTGTGGCGCCCGGGCTTTGCGGAATGCGGCCAAGCAAAAACTCCAAGACCTGAGCAAAACTCCTTGCATCAATCAGGCCTGGGAACCCACGCAAGGGTGGAAGGGGCACAGCTCTCACAGCATGTGGCGGCGAGCCAACACGCTGAAGTGCCTACGCTGTAAGGCGCAGGCCACAAAGAAAGGCCCGGAGTGGCAAGCTAGCAAGGCCTTGAGTGGCCGGTGTGGAGGCTGTGGAGAAGGCCAACAACTTCCACTAGTGTTCAAGGCCAAGACGGCCAACGACGAAGGAGCATAACCAGAAAAGGAGCGAGCAAAAAAAAAAAATACTATACACACTCATACATCTCATACGTAATTCCATGATACGTCATTTTGAGGTGCACAGTCATCCTGAAAAGCTTCGGACCCTTCACACCTGTGGACCACCCGACAAGAGTCTCTCGGATCATCGTCTCATTTGGACAATCCTCACCGATCGCACACCTTGTATATCTTGATGTATGTCTTGATCAAAACCTATTGGATGCTTCTTGTTTGATGCACATATGCACGTACATTTGCACACAACTTTGGTGCGAAGTAGGAGAAGGTACAGCAGGTAGCATGACAATGGCATGCTTTGGCAAAGCTGTGGACCGCCAGGAAATCCAAAGACTTGGTGAACAGTGACGCTTGTTACAGGACCTTGAAGATCGAGGCATGCTGTCCGTTAGTGCTCGGTTGATCTTTGGTGCTCGCTGTTCGTTGAGGATCAATGTCTCAGATGTCTCAAACATGTTTCAAGTGACGCAAGACTTGCGATAATTAGTGCTGGTTGTTTCGGGAATCATGGTGTCACAATTTGTCGGTGAGCTAAAGGGCAAAGTTAATTAGCAACGACCGAACAAGGACTTGTGGCATCGTTTGCAAGTCTTTAACACCACTAGTACCCCCATGTATATTTGCCCATAGGGTAGGCACTCCTATTTTCCCATCCTGCTAAGCAAGAGTTCAGAGTGAGCCTACCCAGGATTGTTTTCTTTTTTCAAGCCTGAGTTCTAGTTCCGAGTCTTGGATGTGGAGGTGACGCAAAACGGCCGGGCAGCTGAGAACGGAGCCGACGAGGTAGTCCAAACTTGCCGGACATGTGGCGACATTTTTTGAGACTTGCACATCACTAGCAGGGTCTGCAGGGTGAACAACTTCTTTTCAATACCGGGAAGAACAATCCTATATATTGCAACGTGCTTCAAGAAGATTCAGATATCAGCTCCCAAGTGGCTGGTCCACCTGATCTGTCGATCGGTCGGAAGATCTTTGTTGGAAACCTCAAAGGACCATGAACAAACCGTCACACTTGATTTGCGAGTCGAAGAAAAAACGGTGATCACAAGACCGGAACTTCACAAATTCGCGCGTCCAAAGCAAGATCCCACTTGATCATCGGTGCTTCCATGTGCTCCCTTGGCCTCTTCTCTTGTCTGTTTCGATGCCTCAAAAGCTCTCCGAACGTCCGATGCAAGGGCTGTTGCACCGTCCCCCGCTGGGTGCATCCTGAGGTTTGGAGGCACGCTGGCTGCGGCACCTGCAACGCTACAAGGTTCGATTCCCGCGAGATCCATGCACCTTTGGTGGTGAGAAGAAGATCATCTGAGGTCTTTCCCTTGAGGGGTCTTTGGGATGTCTCCCTATTTTTATACACACTCAAATGGATGTTCGCACAGGGATCATGGATGGTTCACCTTCCAGCCTTTGCAGCCACTTGGCCCTTGGCAGGAGCAGGGGCTCACCCGTTTCAGGACTGTGAAGGAAGGTGACGATCCTGAGGAGACCGGGTTTGTCAAACTGAGCATGTCCTGGTAGATGAGTGAAATGCCAAAATGCCTGAAATCCTGCACTAGGGCAGTACATGTAACAATATCCTGCATCATAGCCCACCATGTGTGAGTACCCATGTCCATTTTCATGGGACCCAGGTTTTGTGCAGAATCTTGATCCAAAAAGAGGGGACAAGACCTAGAGCCCCATCGCATGGAGGACACTGCCACAGACACAGAAGCGGGATTGTGGAGTGCAAGGGCCTGGTAGCCTAAGAACTTGTCAGATCTCGTCCCCCCTTTGAACTCCCACATCTGATCATACGGGTGCCAACTGCCCAACAATTTGACAGTGTTCACCATTTTTCCCCAACAATCCCCCTGAGATATATGAACGGTGTATAGTGCTGCCTGTTGTCATGCTGACATGTTGCCATGTTTTTGCTAACCTGCTATCATGCTGTCTTTCTGACGTGCTATATAAGATGTTGCCAAGCCGATAAGCTGACATGGTGTTTTGTTGGGGCTGTCATGCTGACATATTGTCATATACTGGTACGGGTCACACGAACATGCTAAAACCTTGTCACGCTGAGATGCAAGAACCGGGTCATGCTCTCATGCTAACTTGCTGGCGGACTTCAAGACTGGTTCCGGAAGAGGTTTCATGGTTTTGGTTTGTTGCGGTGTTGTGCTTGCACATTTCTGCACTGACGTATTGCCGTGCTGAAAAGGTTCACACCTTTGAACACATAAGTGTCTACACACCACTTGTTAGTAAACTTGCAAGCTGGATGTTGATGCGTGTTGAGGCCATGACCTATAGTAGTTTGGCAAGCCTTCTCCCGTGCCTTTTTGTGCTTCAGTTCTTGTTCACCGCTGAAATCCGTAGATCGATTGACCCAACCACTATGCTGAACATCCCATCCGTATTCTTTTGGTCCAATGAGGTGTATTTCTTACATGAAAGAAATGGAATTTGGTGCGTTTTGCACCAGTCCCAGGTGGACTTACGACACCTGGCCGTGCGGGGCTGGTCGTCGGCACCCTCTTCGCTGGTGATTCCGGACCGGGCAGTTGCAGCAACGCGGCCGGTTCGGACACCAAGGGGAAGAGAAAATGGGTAAAGCCCGGGTCTTTTAGGAGATTTATGACTTGTTTAGGAAGGCGGATACCTGGCATGGGGCTTGTTGAAGTTGCAGGACTTTCTGTGACAAGAATCCCAAATCCCAACAAAACTCTTGCAAGCCCGAGTATATCAAGACTTCCATGTGGTATCCAGCTCTAGCCATCATATGCAATACGAATAAACCAAATGGACACACCATTTTCTCATCGCTGTGCTGTTGCAAGAAGCGTTGCCCTCACTTACGGGCCCATGACCACGCACGTGCCAAATGCAACTTTTTTCTTAACTGGACACCTTCTATATAGTCGAAACATCCTCTGAAGATCTTGGATCCAGTCTCCGGTAGGTGGCACTGTCCAATATGTGCTGTCACTGAGATTTGTCTATTTTATGGCAGGGGGACCCTGGTTGACCACCGATCGATACTTGTGCAAGAGTGTGGCGGCCCTTCGGTTTCAGGGGTACTGGGGTGTTGGTATGTACGATCCAAGTCGATATGAACATGCACACCCATTCTATGGATTCCTAGTTTGAAAAGAACACCAACAAGAACACCGAAACCACCGAACCCCAAAAACCAAAGAACCGACGACCAGCCGAGGCCACGAGCATCAGAAGGGATAGGACCATGAACGGAATTACACAGTATATTATATAAGCATCCAATTTGAAGTCACTTGCGAACACATTATATAACTAAATTAATGAGGGATTTGAATTTTCATCAAGAGATTGCCTGGCATTATGTCTACGCTCTACGCATCCCTGAGACGTCTGAATTTCCATTTAGTATCATAGTATAGGAAAGATCATTTGTCAAATCAGAAAAGAACATTGCATTAGCGAGTTCTTCAGGAATGGCAAAATCGGGGTGGAATGGAGGTGCGTGACACGAGTGTGTTGTGTACTTCCACAGGGTCTGACTGATGCGTTCCCGCCGTGGTATAATCCGACGGAAGGCTGATCCAGTTGTATGTGTCCTCCAAAAAGCCTAAGCGAGTCGATGAGATTGTATGCTCCTGTGTATCTCTGGCATAGAGGGGATCTGGAACGAAATCTAATATCGGACAATTCTGCTTGTTGGCGCAAACTAGGTTTGGCCACTGGCAGTGATTCTACCTCCACTGAGTGGTATGGAAGCGGTCGCGTCTGCTACCTAACCATCCAGTACCCGCACCAAACCAAACTGGCAAGAATGTCCCCGTACATGCTACAGATGCAAAACCAGGTTGGACAAGCTTTGGTGTCGAAGGGGATGTTTGGCAATTGCGAAACACTTTGCCAAACACTTTGCAACCAATATGGCAGTATTGCGCATGGGGTCGCAGACACAAAAATAGAGGGGTGTATATATCAGGAGAGTATGTTCTGACTAGGATCTAGCACGAAAATCTTGGCAGTCAAACATATACAAAAACATATATATATATATAGAATGGGCTAGCGCCCGGATGCCGCCGACCCCCCCGAAAGTGGGGGGGCCAGGCTGGCTAGGTTATATACAAGATACCGCCAATAGTAAGTGGACAGTGTATGTATAAATATATGTATAAGACTGATTACCTTAGGTCTGATAAGTATGCAGCTACAGGTGTCAGAAAAGCTATGACAGGGGTAAGTGGCTTGTAGCAGCCAAGCGTCCATAGGGACGTTGCCTTTTGATGTGCCGATACAGGTTCGCATCATTGAGACGCAGAAGGATCAAAATGTCGGATTGTGTACTTCCAACAGGGATGGTGAGCTGGGTTCAGATTGTTGTCAGACAGGTTGGGTTTACCCTGCTGGTGAATCTGATGCTACGATGGTAGTTGAAGTCAGTACCTTGGGAAGCAGAGCCAATACCATGGAGCTATACCATCTGTTGGACTACGACCGAACGCCATAGCAGCTTTGCCATGGGCACCGACGGTGCAGTGCCCTGCGACACCACGAAAATGGTGGTATGGTTGGTTGGATATGGCCTGGGACGGACGCCAATTGGCTCTGCCCCGGTGATCCGTTTCGGAACCTTCGTGTCTTGGCGACAAAGTGCATTTGCTGCATCCATACCACGCAAGCGGTAGCCTTATGCTTAGTAGATCTTGATCGCCTAACCGGGGTCACCATCTACCCCTACCTTGGCGTCGGCATCGCATTCATGAAAGGGCACCAGCTGCCCATGGACCACGCCAAAACCTCGGTCTCGCCACTGCGAAACACCTTGGCCCTGAAGGTTTGAACGGAGCAGCGTGCGAGCGCTGCCAGTGTCTAGTGTCCCCCCCCCATCACTCTGGATGACTTGAGCCTTGGCTCAGACGGCGGCAGTGTGCCAAGGTCACCCATATGCCTTCCAAATCACCCACACTTCCGAGACCAGAGGGCCAGAGCAGGCAGGGCCAGAGGAGGCAGGTGGCAATCGCTTCTCGCTATGCTGTCCCGGGCGCCGCCCCCCCTTAGGCGCCAGCTAGGCAGGGGTCGGCGGATATATATATATATATATATAATTCATAGATAGATAGATAGATAGATAGAGATAGATAGATAGATAGAGATAGATAGATAGATAGATAGATAGGCAGATAGATAGATCGATAGAGAGATAGATATAGATATGGATATAGACATAGAGATAGAGATAGATAGATAAATAGATAGATAGATATAGATAGATAGATAGAGATAGATAGATATAGATAGATAGATATAGATAGATATAGATAGATAGATAGATAGATACATAGATACATAGATACATAGATAGATAGATAGATAGATATGGATAGATAGATATGGATAGATAGATAGATAGATGGTACCCCACTCTTGTGCCGCAGGGCCGGACACAGCGGATCGATCCTGCTTACCCTGAATTTCATTACGTAAAGTGCATGTAGCAGGTAGCGAAGGAGGAGCACTGTTTCATCATTTTGTGTTCGATTCCATTTTTCGTGACCCTAGAACTTGAATCTTTTGTATAATGGTTACTACCGCTTCGTCTGCGTAGTTTTTACCTAGGATGTCACACAACTGGGTGTGATCACTTGCATCCTCAGTGCTTTGACGGGACGTGACTGTGCGATAGACTGTTCTCTGTGGTGATGCATCTGCAAACTCGCGAGTAAGTCTGAATTTGCCTGCAGGTGTTGTTGATGCAAAACACATTTTCTTCCTGCGTTTTTTGGGCCATATTGGTTCTGCGCATGTTGGCGGAAGGTCATGACCACAAACATTACGATGAAAACGGAACATTTCCTCGCATCCTAATGAACTGTATGCTAAGAAAGGGTCGATTTTCCTTATGCCCTGATTGAAATCCCCAACTACCACGGATGGTATGTTTGAATAGGCCACGTAGTCATACATTTGTTGAAGGCAATAATGATTAACCTGTTTCGCTTGGGGTGTTAGACCAGACTTGAAACATGTTGCCACCACAAAAACATCGTGTGGGCGAATACGACTTGACGCGAGAAGTGCCTGCAACTGCTTCATTCATTTTCATCCGAGATGGTCTGATCGTGGATTTTGTGATACTTATGTTTTATTACTGCTGCCCCGCAACACGTCTGGTATCCTGATTTGTGAATTGCAAAAACAACGGCTTTTTACACTGGCGTTGTGGCGCTGCTGTCTCTGCTAAACAGTATAGTGACTCTTCTCCTTTCTGATCAATTTTGTGGGGTTAATGAGGCACATGCTCATCCCAGGATTGTCAGCCTCTCCAACTCTTGACCCCATGAGGTAATTTGTGGTTTTCCACATGCGTGTCAAAGGGTTCATATAATTGTGTATATCGCGATGTATTGGTACCAATTCGGCCATGTTTGATGGATCTTATCTGTGCAGGGATGCGAATTTCCATGAAGGGTAAAATATAAGAGGACGGTGACTTCGATTGGGCAGGGAGGCCGGCCCACTGAGCACTGACTCGACTGTCTCTGGATGGCACATGGAGCGGATAAGTATGATCTGGCAAAGAGAAAACAACGACCTCAGGTGATCATGCCCGTTGTTGTCAATGACTGTCCTACCTGTCTGCAACTTGCGCTTACCACCTGGAGACGCTGAGCCTGCGTACAGATTACTAGAAAGTGGACGTCACTTCACTCATGTAACGCCGATCTTCCCGGACTTCGACTGTGTGTCGAATGCCTAGGACCTTGCTCCCCTAACGTTCGCAACACCTCTTGGAAACCCTTGGCTATTGAAGTCTGCAGGTTGACCACCCAACATGAACAGAAGAGATTATATACCAGGGAGGACAACTTGCCATGGTTTGAAAACTCCAGGGTGTGACCCACTGCCATATAAGTATAAAAGTAAAGGGTTTACACCTGGTGTCTCACATCTCTGACTGCCCAGGTGCCGCCGATCAAAGGCTTTCCAGCACGCCCGGCGGAACAACCGCAGGCGAACCTCTCAGTGCATGTGGCAGTCTGTAGGCCATCAAAAGAACCGCTTTTTCCTTGGGCCGGAGACTGGAACACAGGACATCCAGGTTTTCCAGCACTTTGGAAGCTTTTAGGCATCTCAATTTGGTTGAGTGCATGGGTCCTAGACTATGGACAGGATGAAGGTTTGTACGTCAAAAGAACATGTTGTGACTCCAAAACAGGAGGGCCAGTTTCTTTATTCTTTGCATACTCTTGTGAAGCGATGCTGTGGTAGCAAACATCGAAGAAGCGGTGACGTCTCCCTGAACAGGTGACGCGTGGGAAGTAACTACTGTACCAATGTGTCATCCTGTGTTTGTTTTGAAAGGCTTTGGCAATGGGTGCCTGGGCTGATTGTTTGTGTCAGAATGCAGGTCCCTCAGTACATCATCCAGGAGATGCGCCGCTTTCTTTGTAGGCATGTTCGAAGGAGCGCAGCCCGGCATTTCATGATTCTGGCTGAAGTACCACGACCATAGTGCTGCACACACAGAACAGTTTCCGAGAAGTACTTCGGGTGAAAGTGTGAAAGGAAGAGAACCATCAGATAGACCTCTGGTGGCCTCCAAAGCAAACCTTCATTAGGTCTTCTCTCGATACAACTCATGCAGTGAATGCTAGGTCTAGAATCTAGAATGACTTGCCTCACTGTTGACCAGAAGCTTTGTCCTAGGTTTCACCCTTGTGGAAACGGCTCAGGTGTTCTAATCCAAGACTTTGTCTTCCTAGATAGAGCCTCAGATCATTTTCTTCCCCGTGTGGTCGTTTTTTCTCTTTGAGGTTCCTTCTTCTTTTGAGGAGATGATTGAAATTAAGGACGTAGAGACCATTCCTTCTGCGTTTGCAACTTGCGCAGCATGCTGCAGGACTGCAGCGAAGGCGGAGGCTGACGAGGTGAACGAGCGTTGGATTGCCGCTTGTCTCTATGTGCGCGACAGGCTGGAGATGAATGGGAGAAGCGTGTCACAGGGTGTTCGACAAGGTAGGACTTGTGCTTTCTTTTGGCGTATGATGGGAATCTTACCACCTTTTAGCAGCTCCCAAGCAGAAGAGCGAGTGCGGGGTTTTCTGGTTTGCCTCAAAGGCAGATGCTCCACAATCACTTCCACAGTCAGGGCTTGGAAAATTGGCTCAACTTGCCGAGCCCTGCGGAATCCTAAGTCTTGTTTCATCCACCATGTCGAGACATCCGCGCATTTATTCAGGTCGCTTCGCAACGACAACCGCCCACACAGTTTCCTTTGAGAGAGAGAGAGAGAGAGAAGGCACAAGGGAAGGTAATTCATGTCCGAGCTAACACCCCGGATGATTTATTGCATAGTTTTTGTAAGATGTATATTGTATAGTTTATATAATGCAATCACCCTATTGTCCAACAATGCCTGCATTTTTTTTTGTTTTCCATATACTTCTTTCACTCATCCACTGCATGGTGCTTGTCATCTCTAGGTCTAAACATAGAGTGGTGACAAGTATGCAATATGCATGATCGATATATGGCCTTGGGGCGAACGGTGCTAAACTTGTAGGCCCTTAGGCCCTTAAACAATTTCAACGGGTCGAACAATCGAGTCACTACAATGAACTTTACAAGTGCCATACTGTAGATTGATCTCATCAATGTCAATCATTGCATCGTTTTCATCACCAGGTCCATGAAAGGCATGAAAGGCATAAACGATTCATCTCAACAGTTTGGATCATTTCTCACTGTAAGCACACCACTTCATGTTCTGTCCGAGATTATACCACCTCCACATCAAATGTTGCAAAACCGTCCACGTGCAGGAAGAGTGCAGGGCACCAGGATATCCTTTTGTTGATTGGATTGGACAGGGATCCATATACAATTTGGAATTGAGTTGTTTGCAGTGCAGTTTTGTTTTGAGAGCCCTCAACCGGAAGACTCCAATACCAGTTGCAAACCTTGGCGGTTTGTAATTGGTAGCGGAGCTACCTGGGCGATCAAACAGGGAGGACTTCGACAAGATCCATCGAGCTGTTGAAAGATGCCGGAAACAGCAGGATCAACGACCATCGATGTTGGAACCTCACCCAACAACCAGTTGGCTTCATTGATTCCTACATTTGATCCAGCAACCGACAGCGTAGAACCGTGGACACAAAAGATCGAGCTCCTCACACAGGTGTGGCCAGAAGGACGCCTTGCAGAATCATTTTGAATTGCAAGGGATCAGCATTCGCCAAACTCCAATTGAGACAGAAAGAACTCCTTGGAGGAACCCGGGAGTCTACTGCTTGTGGCCTGTCGGGGAGGCCAATCACTGGCCGGCGCCAGGGTTGGCGGCTTCGCCATCCCCCCCGGGTGAGTAGGTGGGGGATCTGCAGAAGCAGTAGCGCCCCCTCGCTCCTCTGTGTCAGGGAGTTGCGCGGCTTGCGAGAGTACCGCAAGCAGCTTTTCGTGGGTGGGATCAGCAGGTGTAACCTGCATGGGAGGAGGAGCAGGCTTCTTGGGTTGTATGCGACCAGCTGTTTTCCGCTTGGGCGAAGCCTCCTCCTTTACAGGGGGACTACTGCGCTCCTTTGCCAGCAGACCCGGTGTGGGCGGATTGTTCATACCTTTGACATTGTTTAGCTACTCGAGAAGGTTCCAGCCTCTCGGCACGTTTTTGGGCAATGTTGGAAGCGAGGATTGGAAGAGCTGTGGTCTTCTCTTCCCAGCTTCCGTTGGCAAAGTGCAAGTCCAAGAGACCGCAACCGAGGTGATCACCGATGTGGTGCGCTACTGCATGCTGGTGGTCGGGGTCTTTGGTATGGGGCCGTGGGTCACTTTTTGAGGCGAAAAAGGACATTGTTGGGGGGCATCTCGTGAATTGGCAGATTGGCAGATGACTTGTTGGACTACATGTCTAAGCCAGGGAATCTGCCACAGAATCCCAGGCAAGGCCAATCCAAGGTGACATTTCGCTCAGCTGAGGTTGGTTGGTTTTGGTTCTCAGCAGAGGCCGGGGAAGAGCCTGCATCCATGGAAGTGTTTGATAACAAAGGGTCAATGTTGCGGATGGTGAAACCACAGCTATTTGAGATGGACCTATAATGGCCTATATAAAACTAACGCTTGTTCTATCTTATTCTCTGAATTGAGAACTCTACAATCTCAAGGAACGAATCCTCGATGCGAGGCATACGAACGAATCTGAGCGCTCTCTGAAGCTTTTCGCTGTTCAAGTGTGAACATGAAGGATTTCAATGGATTTGATGCATCGCCCATGATCCAACCTGTGAGACCTTCGCAGGTCATGGACATGGCCTGCCTGGAAGGTGGCGTCCGGACACCCGATTTTTTCAGAAATCGGTGCAAGATAGGAGAGGATAACCACTTGAATGGGTTGGTCCGGGTTGTATGAGCACTCTTCAAACCAGCCGATTGGTTGTCAGTCTATTTTTCCTTTTTCCAAGAGCTTTGGAAGGTTACTCATGTGACTCACCAATTTTACTTGCACTTCCTTTCGTGTGGATGACCATTCTCAGACCCTCCAGACCACTTGTGTCTTTCTTGGGAACAGAGCCCGTTACGCACCCGCGGGCTTATGAAGCCAGTGAAGGGCCTTGAGACATCGTGACTGCGGCTCTTTCTGATATCATCGGGGAGGCTTTCTACCAATCAGCTCCTCCGTCAATCATTTCTTCATACTTGGAAAATCTAGGAACCATTCTGACAGGCTAGTAAACCAGCTTCGTGTCCCAAAGCAAATCTGGTCAGAAGCCTCTGATGCGTGGCAGCGCCAACGTCTACTGTGCAAACTTGCACTTGAACCATGTATATACATAGACTCGACACGTTCTTGTAGGTACGCAGATGGATCCTCATATTTGTAGACTATAGATTGCTTTGCGATCTATGAATACACACATGATGCAAACATGGAATTTCATCCACTCCACCTTGCGTCCAAGGGCCCCTGGCAGGTGATCAAGGCGGGAAATGGGAAAGGGGATGACAGGTGTACCTAGGAAGGAAGGTGTACCTAGGCAGGAAATCCATCCAGAGTTTTCTAGTCTTCTAGTGCTTCCGAGAAAGATGTTGTACATGTGGCGCGAAAATCGCATGGAGACCTCAAACCAACGGCTTGATCCTTGCAAGCTGCTTGTGTCTGAGAGGTGTCCTTTTGGGCACAAATTCCGGTTTGGACGATTGGGAGGCTAGTAGTGTATGCGATGCTCCTCTTTTGCCAAGAGCAGACACGTAGATTCAGTAGATTCATCCAAAGGGTAGCCCCTTTGAGCAGTGCATGGCGTACACGTTGAAACTGAAAGTTGGAAGAATCTAGGGGTCCAGGGCCATCAATTCTCCATGTGGTGTGCCAAAACCTGCTGTTTCTGAGATGTTTCCTTGTTTGCCAGATAACGTTGGATCTTGATTCGTCAATACGGTGCCACGTGTGAGCCCCTGGCCTAGGAAATAGTCTTTGAAGGGAAGTCTAGGACGAGAACTTTAGCTATTCCAACCCCTCAAACATTTTTAGGGCCCGGAGTAACTGCGTGAACATGTTTGATGATTTCATAACATTTGACAAATCGTGGAGTGGCCTTTTGTTCCTCTCTCAAATGATTGTTTTCTTTGACTCTAAGGCAATCTAAACCAAGCCTTGATTACTGTATTTGTTAGATACCTTTTCACCGCCTTTTCTCTTTTTGTTCTTTGACTGCCCGCTATGTCAGGGAGACGCATCAAAAAAGAAATATAAATGCATCAATAAAAAAATATAAATGCATCAAGAAAAAAATAAAAATGCATCAATAAAAAAATAAAGAAAAGAAACAAAGAAAGGCAAGAAGGCAAGGAAGGAAGGAAGGAAGGAAGGAAGGAAGGAAGGAAGGAAGGAAG